GAAAGCCTTCAGTTATTAGTACAAATTATCATCGTTATGTCAAATTAATCAATGCACCATCTGCAACTATACCCATCAAAATATTCAGCGCGTGTTTATTTGCAACAACGTTACAGATGTTGTAAATCTCTCCACGGACAAACTATATGTATGGGTGGTTAAGGACATATAAACACATAATGCATGCATCCGTTTTATTAACACGGCTCTAAACTGAGAGTAAACGAAGATTGCAATAAATGGCCTGGCTTCGATAATAATATCATAGGCAATGTCATTGGTCACCGTCTCAGTTTTGTTGAGTTTCAGCTACTGGATACATATTTTATGTTAAGCTAAACACAAGAGATTCCATTGTACACTATTGCTTATACTCTTTGACGCGCAAACGACTAAATTAATTAGCGCAAGGTCAAGTTGTTTACAGATGATAACCAGACATTAATTAATAACAGTTATACAGAATATCGCATACGCAAAGTTCGTTTGTATGCGAACCAGCGTAGTAACGTATGCTTGCATGCTGTCAAAACTTATTTGGTATAAATAGCCTACTACATTAAATATCCAAACCATTTATGCACATGAGAATCCCCATTTAAATTTCAGCAATGCATTGCGCGGTAATAGAATATTTAAAATACAAGCTTGGATATTTACCTAGTGCACACAATATGTTCCGTGCGGCAATAGTCTCTAGCTGCGGTCAAGCTTGTCGCGGAATGTCGCCTATACACAGTACTGTTAGTAGCAACTAAGGGCATCATTATACCTTAAGAATATTATGATAATAATCTATTTTTATCGACTGCATGCACCAGCCTGATAAAGTGGCCCAGTCATGACTTTCCTTATATCATAGCTAATGTTTCATTTAGTGTTCATACCTGGTATTAGCCTTTATATATGCACGCGTTAAAACGCCTTGACTTCTCCATAGATGCTAATAGCCAGCAAATATTTGGGACAGTCTTCGCGAAATTATTGTTAAAGATCTTTACCCGCGCGCTCACGCACGCATAAACAGTTGATAGGCGCCATTTCAAATTTGCTCATTTTGCCGCTCTAGCTGGCAGGCTTCAAGGTGCAATGACCATGCATAATTGCAATTTAATATCCGGAATGTAATTTCTCATCAACGGAGCCCAAATCAAAATTAGTGAAAATTTTCCTGTTGCCCAACAGCTGATATGTTGTCCAAGCAAGATAAATTCCAATGCTCCTTTTCTAATGAATTATATATAGCGAAATATATGTAGGAAAATATCTGAAAGGTCAAACTTAAATGTTTGTAAACGTTAGCTTGGCAACTTGCCCTTTGGGCTTGTGTCAGCGCAGTTGTGCGCAAGGAAGGACTGCACGCACTTTAAAACATAGCGCAAAACTCAACCTCACAAAACACGGAGTTTATTTTTGTAATAAACAATGTCACACAATGAACATGCATCATTGATATAGGTTCATTACTTTCATACAGTCTGTATCATTTATACGATTTGAGCCTTTTCCGCGTTCCACGTTTCCGATTCGAGGAGCAAGTCGAGAGAAATCAAATTACAACCAAAATATACATGGGGAGTGAATTGTGCTGAAATGTGCACATATCAATATATATGAAGTATTTTTTTGTGAATTAAGAGTCTAAATAAATATTTACAATGCATGAGTTATATTTATGCCATAAGTTATATTTATGCAATTGCCACCTTTCAACATGCCAGCAACGATGTCGATCGAGCCAGATGGCTTAGATCTGGGGAGACAAAGATACCTTTTTAAGCAAATAAGACGATTTTGAAGCGGGGCACTGAGGATCTTGTTGCTCCGGCTCCAGTTTTAGACTAGATGCACGTACATATTTAAATTGCTATGATATTCATGCAGTGGCGTAACGAACAGAGCCGAGGATGGGGTTTTGAGGTACACTTGGTACTGCGGGTTCCCTTAATTCGCTGTTTGTCATAAATCACGTTTTGCTTATACTATGATGTTTCGTTATCTATCCTGGCCCCCAATAAATGGGGATCTCTTAGTTCTCGTTGTAACCCTACCGAACGCGCGTTAGGTCACTGTATTTATGTCTTCAAATATTAGCTAGGGTATCTCAATTGTTGTATAATTTGTAGCTATGTCAGACTGCATTAAAAACAACGAATTTCAAGCTGAAATGTCCATCCTAGGATGCGGTCCTTAATTTTGAATATATTTTAATCAGTAGCTGCTTCGTACGGAGGCCCAGCTAGATAAGTTTATCAGATGTAAATAAATTAGCTATATAATACACATGGTTTACAAGTACGATATTAATATGTAACACGCAAAATCCCTCAATTCATTTTAAAATCTGGTTTTGTCTGTTTACATACATTTAGAGACTTCCGACAATTATGCAACTTAATTAGCACCTTGCCAGGGCATATTTATTTTGGCTTGAGAGGTTGTTTGTGCGTGCGGTGAAATTTGGCTTATGGAAGCTACAGAAGTATAGTAAAGCACAAATTCTAACCATTTAGTGCATTACCGAAATTCAAAAAACGATAAATTTTTGAAAGAAAGCTTACGACGTAAAATTTGACGCTAATGAAATAATTGCATGCACTGAATGTTAATAGCCTTCATGTCTGCATGACGCTAAGCATCAACCATAACATGAAGCGCACAAAATAGCATTCGATTAGGCTAAAACGATATAACCTCACTATTTCCTTTACAAGTCTTCTACTAAGGAACTGAATACGTTTCTGGGAGTATTTCTGTGTAGCACATTCTGCGCTTCTTCTACAAAGTTGTAACATTGCAAATGTTTAATCTAATATGTTGAACCAAATCCAATGCGATTGAACGAAATTACGGCAAACGTTTCAACGAACGGTAAATCAAACGGTTGAACGCTTTTGGACCAATTTTCAAACGATTTTTCCCAAGCGTTCGAACGGGCAATTTCGAACGATGAACGATCTCGAAAATCGTTTCAACGAACGCTTGAAGCGTTTGAACGGCAAACGAACGGATAACGAACGATATTTTCGAACGAACGAAATAGCGTTAACGTATGTTTTCCTGTGGAAGGTCACATATATATATATATATATACAATTTTGTTTTCTCCTTCAGCCGTATAGTGCTCTACACTAAAGTGGAGCTGGGTTAAAATTTGAAATGAATTGGAGATTAAAACCTAAAAATTGTTCATTAAAAATTTGAAGCACTACAGTTCTGTTTCGAGAGGCCTGTTAAAGCTCCTTTCTCTTCAGGTGCGTGTTCAGATTGGGTTCATATGAAGTACCAGTCTGAACCATACCAATCATACCAATCTGAACACGCACCTGAAGAGAAAGGAGCTTTAACAGGCCTCTCGAAACAGAACTGTAGTGCTTTAAATTTTTAATGAACAATTTTTAGGTTTTAATCTCCAATTCATTTCAAATCTTATATATATATATATATATATATATATATATATATATATATATATATATATATATATATATATATAGACACATATTTTAAATAAAAGATTCAAGAAATTTAAAGTTCGATTCCATGAGCAAAGTGTCTATCAGTCGTTCTATTCGAGTTGTTACAGTGCGATGAGAGTACAACAGCAATCTGGAGGATAGGCAAATGAAACTCTTGGAAGGACAACAAAACTTTATTGGTGTTTGCCGACTGTTAAGAACTGTGAAGCCATTATCCAACTCCCATTGGAGTTTCCAACTGTACCTAAAAGGGGGTGAGGACATGAAACCACACAGGCAGCGTGCTTTCTTTTCCGAAAAGTACTGCGTTTCTAAAAGTGTTGATAGGGTGGACTCCGATGTTGGCCGTTGTCCCATTCTTCTGAATGCTGATCATTGCTGATTATTGATAAAACATTGATAAATGAATGCACACGAGGGCCGTCCTTAGAAGCCTAATTTGGAGAAATTTATATTCCTATATTTATGTTTAAATAATCTTAAAAACAACCGCTTTCAAAAGAAAACAGTCGAGATAAGATTTCGGAATAAATGAAAGGTACACACCCCAAATTAAGCTTCTAGCGTTGGTTTTGCGCTGGCTGCGCATGATACAATCTTGAATTAAATACTTCACCTTGCCTAAGGCTAAGAATTCTATTTTTCTATCATTTATATTCTGTTCTTGTTTGCAATATTATTTGCATCATTTTTCATTACAGACTTACTGTAAATAATTTTAATCTCCGATTTACAAAACAATGTACCTGGCGTTTCATATATTATTTTTTTTAATATTTGACAACATGGCATGTTAGCGTGAAGCTTATATGCTACTTGTGTATCTTCGGCGTAGGTTTAAAATAGAATGCGCCCTGGCTGGCAAGTGACAGCAGGAACTGTAAGTTAATCCTTATATTCTATTATGCACAATAATGTACTTGTATTGTATTAATTATTCTAAAATGAATTTTATTGTAGGAAAAAATTAAACTACAAAGTCTACGCATATATTATACTGAATGTGCGTGTAAACTTAACGTATTTTTAAAATATACACTCCTTATGTTTGGTCGCCATATTGGATACTGTGGCCACGTACGAGTTGGAGGCCTGGCGACGAGGTGCTCTGCCATATCTGAAATAGCCTTCAACCCCAAACACACATCGCACATTAAAAGTTAAAATTAGATTTAAAATTACCGACAACAACTTTTTATTGACCATTTAAAACTAACAAATAAACAAATTCTAATTACTACTTCTTTGGGTTGACTGTCCAGATATAAGATCAAATCGCACACTAGTTTAATTGGTTAGGGCCCTGACTACGCTAATAAGCGCATTAGCCACCAGCCGCGCACCAAGAATAACTTAAATTCAAAGTACCTTATTAATGACGCTATATTTTTATGGATATGATATCTCATTGACTTTGAGTGAAATTTCGATTCTCTTAGATTTTTTATATCAAGTACTTTTCAGGAGTAATAAAAACTTCATGAATTAGCAGAAGACCCTGGGAACGAGGATGGCATTACCTCAAGGCTTTGCAGCACATATGTCAGTTTCATTTTCACGAAAGATTTCCCATTCAGTCCATTTGCCGGTGTACATTTTATTACGTATAGAAGTGGGATTATGAGGCAGATTATTATCCACGTGTAACCTCAATGTGGTTCCACCGACCATTAAGAATTTTTTAGAGCATGACCAGTGCTGGCCAGACACACGCTTATTACAACAGGAAACACGCACCAGGCTATATGATTTAATCTCGCCTTCAACATCCAGGCATTTACACGAGTTTTTGTTCATCAGTTGATTTCCTCCATTTATCCACGACCATTCTTGCTTAGCGTCATTTGGGTCACAGCGCTTTCCTACAACGATGTCATCGCTTCCGGCCGATAAACATATCTTTTTTTTACCATTTTGAATGCGAAAATCTAAAAATATATGTATTATGGTGATAAAATAATTATATAGTCGAGTTCCGAATACATCTCGTTCGACGAAAAAAGCTATAGACGTGATACGTCTCCTGTTTTATTCATACACAGATCACTAATGGTCTAGATGTTTTAAGTTCTCACTTACATATAATTAAATCTCAATTTGCATGTCTTTATAGTTAGTGCATGTAAAAACATGGTCGCGTTTCTTGATGTTTGTTGCAGTGTTCCATGCAAGAATGCGATGAAAGATCACGAGGACCTTTTATCTAATTCAGGAAACTGTATTCACTTAATAAATGACCCCTTAAGGCAGTTCAAACGAATTTCATTGAATCATATCTAATTTTTGCGTCCAAATGACGCGATTAATTCCAACAAATTCTGTCGAGTCGCTTCGTAACAACATTTGGAAAAGAAGACTGGAGAAAATACTACACAGAAACCGCGGCGACCATTTTGCTTTTTACATCTTAGTGATGTTAAACTGGATTAGATTAGTAAAACGCAGACTGGACTAGATTAGTAAAACACGGACTGGACAAGATTAGTAAAACACGGGCTGGATAGATTAGTAAAACGCGCACTGAACTAGATTAGTAAAACAAGGACTGAACTAGATTAGTAAAACGCGTACTGGACTAGAACTCAAACAAATAGAAAATTTTTCATCCACCAACGGCAATGTCTTTCACCGTTATGGTGCAAACTATCGTGCTCTCCGTAAAACAGTTTTCTGGCATGCATTGAGAAATTTTTGGGCAAACTATAGATTATGTCAAATCACAATTAAACAAATTTTATCGATTCCAGTCCGCATTTACTAATTTAGTCCAGTTCGTGTTTTACTAATTTAGTCCAGTCCGCGTGCTACTAATTTAGTTCAGTCCGCGTTTTACTAATCTAGTCCAGTTTGCGTTTTACTAATTTAATCCAGTCCGTATTTTACTAAACTAGGCTAGTCCGTGTTTTACTAATTTAGTCCAGTCCGCGTTTTACCATATGCCTTGAAAAATTACAAATTTTGAAATTTGAGCTCTACTTTGTACTGTTGAAAATCTCTAAACACGTCAGATTTTCCGCTACGCTGGTCGAAATCTCACACTCTGGGACATATAATTTCACATTTATTCAGGAACCAACACTTTACAATAATTCACGTTCAAACACACAACTAATTTACAACAATGATTTTAACCTATATTTATAATAACAAAACAGGATGCTTTACCAAAAAATTATGCATTTCCCTGACGCATCTCTTACAGAACTATATACAGGATGTTCTTCCGATCTTTTCGTTCCACTACAACCCACACTTTTGTCCGCTTACCTCCATTTTCTATGCTATATGATACTACACTATTAACATTTACATAACAACTTTTTATATTAATACATATACAATTTACGACCTGAACACTATATATTTGCGCATACTATGTAAATGACTGTTTCTTGCGGTTGGTATACTCAATCATGCGTTAACCTAAATTCCACAAAATATACACTTACCATTTCCTTTTTGTTCTTTAGGGAGGTTTTTGAACGTTCCCCACTGAGATTGATTCTCCTTGCAACCCTGAAACAAGTGTTCATCATAATCTAAATAATACCGCCGAAAAGCTAATTAAGCTAGCATTCCTTCAACGAGACCTTATGTCGGTTACATTACATTATTGCGATAAGAGATAAAAAGAGAGATTCATTAAAAAAGCGAAATCGTGTTGCCTTCGATTATATATTATTTCACATCAATCACTCATTTTAGTTTTAAAAATGACGAAAGATATTAGAACAATTTTTAGGAACAGGCGAATGATTTTGCAATGTTTGCTTCAATCATGCAGGGTTACAAATTGCCCGACTTTCCCCTGATTTCATGAAAAATTGCTATAATTCAATGGCATTGTATCGGTATAACCATAACCGTACAGCTGATCTATTCTATTCCATTCTAGTTTTGGACTTGAAAGAAACATTATAGCGCCAATGATGTATAGGGGGAAATATATATAATTAATTGAACAAAAGTTGGGAACTCTTAGCAAACAAAAGCGAGCAAACATGCCATATCACAGCTGCATCCTCAACAGTGTTAACTTTTCTTTTTTACCCATGGTTGCTAATAGCAATTTCAATTTTTCAATTACAGATATAATAATTAAACAGTTGCATGCGAAAAACAAAAGTATATGCGTTTTTCGTCAACCCCGGTAAGTTGTGTACTCACACAAAATGTTTTCATGTCTTGGTGAAGTGTCCACTCTCCCTTCGCAAAAACGTCAACATCTTTTTGTGAAGTACTACTGCTGATTTGACAGTTTATTTCATCTCGTGCTAATTTAGGTCTGTGGTTGTAAGCCACACACATTTGTTCTTCCAGGCAATTTAAGGAGCATTCAATTTCAGAATGAACAACATAACTTGATATGACATCGTCATTTGATAACGGGTTGCCTGTTAAGAAGAAAATAATTCTAAACTTTTTGCCATAATTTTATAATCCTAGAGAATTTCATGATCAACTGTGTTGAACGCTGCGGACAAGCCTATTATTTTGAGTAAGAATGTTATTATAGGAGCCTTGTCTGCTGTGAAAGCAATTATGTGTTTAATGTTTTACCAGGTGTCCCAAAAAAGTAAACCCATTTAATTCAAAATAACTTCCTATCGAAATGAAAAAACTTTCATTGGTTAGAGGATAGACTAACTTAGATTTTAATGTTTTATGAACTTATCGTAGTATTTTTTAGGAATATTCAGCGAGATATTACTTTTCAAAATCGGTACATTATTTCGGGATATGTCTACTGTATATAAGAAACAGAACTTTATACATTAAATGTCTACTGAATTTTTTTTTTTTAATCGGGATATGTGCATGTCTACTTTATATATGCAAAATATGCTCTATTACTCTTACTTCACTACATAAATATTTGTATACATAATATTATGTCATTCATCATCGTTTCAACATAGAAATTTTTTTTCAACTGATGTTCATTTTTTGCGGGGTTTCTATATATATTTTACTGCGAGATTATAAATACCAAGTTTATACCGAAAACATACTATTTCTTATTCACACGTCCCATTAAACAAGGTAAACGCATGGATTGTGTCAAGCTGATAAATCATCGATGACAACATTGCTACTCACCGTTTTTCCTCACTGTTTTGAAATATTTTTGATAATCAAAAGATGATTTCGATGATTTTGCTGCGGTGTAGCAATCTATACCTTTCAGCAACAAGAATTGAACCAAAATTATATACATTGGCACTCGTTCAGTTTAGTGATTTTAAACTAGAGATGAGCGGTTGAACGTCAGTCCACGCAGTGAAACTCAACACACGAGTTGAGATGCAACGTACGTCTGTAAATACGGAAAGATAGAGAGAAATATTAACACCTGCGTCTATTGTTATGGACATACATCTATCATTATGAAAGTTTTATATTGATAGTATTATTAATATTTAATTTATATATACTCAAACAAATAAACTTGTTCTATTCTCATATATAACCCGCAAGCTAAAATAATTGTTTTTAAGATTTAAAAATATTCAAATGTTAAAGAACTTCAATATCAATGATAAATCTTATATAATTATAATCAATGACAAATAGCTACTGCAATATCATAGGCTAAGGGGAGTGCTATTTTGCCATTACACACTGGCACTCTTGCCCATAGACATTCAAAATCACACTAATATCCACAGCTACAGGCAATCATCATGCAGAAAACAAAAATAATTGCGAAAACTCAATAATTTAAAATTGTACTATTTGCCACTGTAATTCTCATGAGAAAAATTAAATTGAAGTTCCATACATTTTAGTCCCTTATTATTTATTGATTACAGAAGACATATAATTGATAAGTGCAATAATAAAAAGAATTAAGTCGTGCAATTATTGCCAAACCAATTCGTTTGATTTTGGCATAAATTCCAAATCCAAAATCTAAATCCTTATATATGTCATATTTGGAAAAGAGAAATTAATCAATCAAAATAACTTATTTTCCTGCAAATTTTAATAAAATGAGTAATAATTTAGAATCATGTAAAACTTTTCGCGTGAAAGAAAAGGTGCGTGCGTAAAATAGGGTTGTCATCTCGTGCATAATTATGTGTACAAATTAAGCTGCACAGCCTTTACTGACGAGGCGTTATCATCATAATATATATATATATATATATATATAATATATATATATATATATATATATATATATATATATATATATATATATATATATATATACACCCATTTGCAAAAACGTTGGCCGCAGATAGATAGATAGATAGATACTCGAAGTCTAATTAGAATTGCATATGAATACATTTGCATAGGATTTCAATCATATTACACAACATATGCAATTAATTCTAATTAGATTTCGGGTATCTATCTATATATATCTATCTGCGGACAACGTTTTTGCAAACGGGTGTATATATATATATATATATATATATATATATATATATATATATATATATATATATATATATTTATTTATTGAAAGACTAGCTTAGCTACTATGAGTTTCACGCTATAAAGCGATCGTCAGGCTAATGATAGGTCTAGTTGCTATTCTCTATATTTACATCGTGATATAAGGTATCGGGTTACGTGTGAAAAGTTCAGAGCGTTTGTTCAGCAGAGATTTAGTTTAGCGTTTCATAATGTATAGCTTCTCTTCAAGGCAGAGGTTACATCTTCTTGAGCCGGCTTTGTAGGCTGGGACGGTTTTCAGGAGGGACCATGTTATAGAGAATGCTTTCTTAGCTTCCTTCATATATATATATATATATATATATATATATATATATATATATATATATATATATATATATATATATATATATATATATGGTTATATGGTATATATAACCAGCAAACTACAATATTTGTTTTTAAAATTGATAAATATTCAAATTTCCAAAAATTTCAATATCCATGATAAATTTTACAATCTATATGGCAAAAACTGCAATATCATGGTCTCAGGGGAGTGCGATTTCGGCATTACACACTAGCAGCACTCTTGCCCATGGAAATTAAAAATCACTTTAATATAGCATTTACCCTTCATTAAGGGAAAACAATACTGAATTACGCTTATTGCATATACTTAATAGTGCGCTTCTAACTTCAATAAGAGCAATAAAATGTCAATTGGGCGTCATGGGAGTTCAATAAAACAACGATTTAATTCACGCCAACTTTTAACGTTCAAATGTGAGAGTCAAGTAATAATAGCATGTAGGGAAGAATCATTAGTGCGATACGAATAACAATAAGGAAAAACCATTGATTAATAAATTTTAAATAATAGTGTATTTTCAATTAACTGAAGTTTACATTTTTATTATGATTACCATTCAATGACAAAGTTTTTGCAAGACCCAGACAAACAGTTCATTTAATCATTCTTGAATATTTTCTCTCGCTAGGCATCGTGGCATCAATTGAAACTAATGCACTTTTTGATGGTAACGAAGAACGGAGCATTCTCTGCTGTGTATTTTACGTATTCTTCCGCAGCCATAATATGGATGCTATGATAAAAATCGATCCAGTGAACGTCTTTTTATCCTGACATGCATTCCCATGTTTGTTGAACTTTCACATTTCTGCCTAAATTTACAATGGCACGAACGAGAGTTAAGTTAAAAATACATTATTACTTTTAAATAATATATGGGTTTTCTTATTGCTATTCGTATCGCACTAATAATTCTTCCTACATGCTATTGTTATTTGACTTTCACATTTGAGCGTTAAAAAATGGCATAAATTAAATCGTTGTTTTATTAAACTTCCATTACTCCAAATTGACATTTTGTCATCGCTGTTATTGAAATTATTGAAACGCATTACATATTGAGTATTCATAAGCGTTTACTTTATTCAGTATTGTCTCTCCCTTAATGAAGGGCAAATGCTGTAGCCAATACAGCTATGGCCAATCAACATACAGAAAACAAAAAGAATTTCGAAGTTAAATCATTATAAATTTCACTAATTTCAAATTTTACTATTTGCCACTGAAATTGTCATGAAAAAAATGATATTGAAGTTCCATACATTTTAGTCCCTTGTTGATAACAGAAGACATATAATTAATAAGTAATAAAAAGAAATAAGTCGTGCAATTGTTACCAAACCAATTCGTTTGATTTTGACATTGAATCCAAATCCAAAGTCTAAATCCTTATAAATGTCATATTTGAAAAAGAGAGATTGAACAATGAAATTAACTTATTTTCCCGCAAATTTTAATAAAATTAGTAAAAATTTGGAAATATGTAAATTTTTCCCCGGTAAAGAAAACGCGTAAGAGGAAAGTAGCCTTCAGTGAAAGCAAATGTATATACCTGCGTAAAATAGGGTTGTCATCTTCTGTAGATTATCACAAAAATGTGACACAAGTTTGCTTTTTAGAGTCAAAATAGTTTATATACTTTGCCTAAGTTAGCGGGAATACGGGGCCGGCTTATTTTATTTTATACTTAGCAAAAGTCAGAGAAGAAGGTCAGTCAAGTGGAATCAGCCCAGATGAAGATGAGATTGACTCGCTATTAGAGGAAATTTGTGATAAAGAAAATGGATGCTTAACCCTCCTATTACAACCAATAAAAAGAAAGCAGAAAATGACAGAACCACAGCTAATTAAATAAGACTTCAAACCATGGAAACTGTAAGAGAGACTACTAAAAGAAAGGAGAAAAATGAAAGGGAGCATACAATTGTTATTGCAAAACCAAAGCCAAATGCAGCAACACAATCAAGAACAGAAGAGACAACAGCAACTTCAAGAACAACAGCATGCACAAACCATGCGACAAATGTTCCAATAACAACAAATGCAGAGTCAGGCCTTGATAGCTCTCTTAGAAAAATTTGCTAACAAATAGGACACATGAAGGCATGCATGTACACTTCCGTAAGTTGTGTTATTATTTATAGCTTTTTTAACTGTTAAATTTAGAATATAAAAGCTCCTCTATTTTATTTTCTGGACAATATGGACAATGACAATGTTAAAAAAAATTGGAAATACAGAACTATTAACCCATTTAAATTAATGTTTGCAATTCCAACGTAATAAATACAAGTTTGTTAAACTATACTCTTAACATTTGCATTTGGTTGGTCAGATTTCCTTCTCGAAATGATGCCTGTAGGTACACCCTTGAGGGATATGCTGGATCCCAAAAAAAAAATTTGGATCGCCTCTTGTCGAAAAAGCTTCTGCGTTCTGTTTCTAAGGTCTGCAGCAGTCCTGACTCAGCCAACATTACCAGCATGCTGTCTTTTCCTGTAATTTAGTGTAAATTCCTCTCCTAGCAACATTAAAATACAGTCCAATTCATTTTTAAATTACCCTCTTTAAGAATGCCTTAAAATAACTTTAAAATTGCAGTACGTTTATTATACCCCACTCTTCAACATCTCCTTTCCGTGCGTGTCCTTAAGTATATCTGGAACGTATATAGCCTCTAAAGGGTTTTCATTTTAACCTACAGGTCCATATAAGCTTTGCAATCATTCCGTTTGGGACAACAACAGACTGAAATTTCGGGGAATGTGCTTTCCTGTGTCCTTTAAAAACCAGCCTCTGGTTTTGTCTAGGCCTGCAGATCGGACGGACTGTTTCATCATTGTACCCAAAACAGTTTTGTTATTGGGCACCTTTTTGATGAATGGATGTTGCGTAAACTTCTCAGAAGGCTGTTGTTCCATTCAGTTATGCGGTGGTTATGAGTTTCGTAGATGTAGTTTAACACATGATTTGTAATCATGCATATATTTCGGAAACAGATCTTCTGAATAGGGTTATCACATCGCCGTACCTGCAAGGATAGGCGAATCGCTTCATCAACATACGCAAGCCCTCCATATCATCAGCAACACTTCGCTGGTACATCTTGAACGAGGAAGGAATCTGTAGAGCATTAGCTGATGAATGAAAATATTTTTTTCCACTCGAAAATTAGCCTTGCTTTCAGCCTCCAACAGATCGTTGAAATCGAACTTGGGGGTGTCTTTGTGGGTGAAATCTGGATTTTTGAAGTGAAAATAATCGTACAATAACACACATTCATCGCTTGAGATAATTTCATCAGCATAAGAGTAGGCTATAATTTCACGAAATTTCCTAAATGACATTTTGTTCACGTCCCCGTTTGTTTTTGCTTAATGATTTGTTTTTCGCGCTAAAACATCGTCCTCGGTCCCGTCTTTCGCGGTTAAATG